TCTCATTTGCATTCTAATTAGAAACAAAAAGTTATGAGTATCTTACACAAGGCAGTAAAATTTAAAGACTGAATGATTCATATGTTAATCAGTGCTGCTTCAGTTAAAAAAAGAAATGATGTGAACACACATGTGTGGGTGCATCTATGCTAGAATGAAAAGCACATTGCTGCACACTAATTCAAAGCGGAAGAATCCTGCTAAATCAACTTTTCTTCATATGTTCATATGTATAATAAAACAATGTGAAAAATGTGGTTATTCGTAAAACATTTATCTGTTAAATTAGCCATCTGCCTTTATCTTCCTATTAAACCCTTCCTTGCCATTTTCCTGCTCTGATTCTGCTAGTCTTTATCACTTCTATTATGTCCTGATTTTTCTCATTTTTCTAATATATATTATTTATTGCTTTCAGACCTTTAAACCCAGGTGAACTTAATCACTTAATATGCAGATCTATTTTTTTTTATTTTTTATTAAAAAAATAATATTGCAAACCACCTTACAATGTTCTCACCTAAAAGAAAAATAGCAAATGTTTTAAATAAAAAATTGCATCAACCATTTTCTTTCTTGTTCTATTTCTTCCTGTTTTCAGTCAAAGTTTCCCTCTAATGCATTTAGATGTGGCTCACTAGTTCTCAGCATGTCCCAAAAGTGCTTTTCTTCAAAAGGAAACTGAACTTTCTTTGTTTTGCTGGAGGATATTTCGCTTCTCATTCAAGAAGCTTCTTCAGTTCTGTTTCAGTTCTCTCCCCCAATCCCCCAAAAAGTTCTGAAGAAGCTTTTTGAATGAGAAGGAAAACATCTTCAAGCGAAACAAAGTCCCAATTTTGTCCCAAAATTCCAAGCTTCAATTAATCCTACCAGCTGGATTGTATCCTTCTGCTTTAAATCTACTTTTGTACTATTTTTATGCATCAATTGCTGCTTCACTGATTTTAAAAGAAGCCATTATAAATAATGCAGTATTAGTCTTACCTTTAACATGTAGCATAATCCACAAATTACTAATATTTAATATACATATTTTTCTAATCTATATTTTTTAATCAAAATTAAGTACAGGGTATCTAATCTAAACTGAAATCCTAGCACAAGACACAGCTCAAACTTATACTGTGGTTAGGAAATTCTCCTATCCCTGCCTAATGGAAATAAATGCAAATACATTTTTATTATAAACAAATTTCAAGAAAATGCACATTTAGGAGAAAACTTTGCAGGTCTTTCAACAATATATCCACTTTAATTTCATACTTTTTTCTGAGAAAGAGTAAACATTTTTGAGACATCATGCAATTACTTCTACTAACTGTAAATATTTGAGCAGTATTATTAAGGGAAAAAAGAGGTTTTGTATTTTTATATTTCAATCGTATCTATACTGTGAGGTAGAAAGTATAAATAAAAATGTTGAAGTTCATATTCGAATAACTATATTGGAAGATTTGAAGAAGGCACGTTGCAAAAGAATCAGCAACTTTTTGAAGCATGAAAAAACAATGGAAATGTGGTTTCAGTGACAGTACATCACTGCACAGCTCAAAGAAATACAACTTTCTGAATTATCACCTGATTTTAGAGTATTTTTAGCTCAATGCAAAAGTAAAAATAGGAAAAATGACATTGTGCCTAACAAAAAATATAGGCCTACTTTTAAACACCACTGTTATGATAATATGTAAAAGGAATACTACATAATATTACATTCATGATACACAGAGCATTTTGTTGTCCAAAAATTTAAGCTTTAAAATTCTGGCATTAGATTATTAATGCTATTTGTTTTCAGAAGTTGATGTTCCTCACTTTATCAAAATTCACCAAGGAAAGTCATTAGTTTCAACAACTATAATACTGTTCTTTTAAAATAATTATTTCTTCTTGTAATTCTTTCCTGAATTTTTTCTCATATTATTGTATTATTTTTTTCTAGATACAAACTACTAATCTCCATGTTTCACATTTGGACCATATGAGGCAAACAGAGACATGTATGTCATAAAAATTAAAGAAGAGCTCTATCCTTGAGTTATGAAAAGGGAATTAATTGATCATGATAAACAAAAGAACATTTCATCCCTTGGCCATAAAAATCCATGCTTCAAGCTATTTTAGATTTCCATGTTTAATGAAAGAATGCCTCTACCTATTCTACCATTAATTGCCAAAGACGATTAAATCACATTTAATATCATGCCAAACATATCTACTCAGTATGGAATATCTGTGATTCTGGTTTCAAGTTCAAATTCCACCAAACAAGTTCAGATCACAACGCAAAATCAGTATCTGCTCAAACAGAGTCTACAATCCATGTCCTGAAAGTTTCATAATGGTTCCCATGCCATTTAGTTGGAACCCAGGCTCCCCCACTCAAAAAAACTCCTCACAATTCTACAAAACAAATATTAAATTAGAAGAAAAAAAAATACCTGCTTGTCACTAACATGAAAAAGGATTAGAAATTTAATGACTGCCTCCATTGGTGATGCCAAAATATCACTGATCTACTGTTCCGTTAGAAAGTGGGCTGCTTGGACACAACACATTACTGGCACCAGGGATATAACAGATGTATCACCTATACAAAATACCAGGTTTAATTCTTAACATCTTTTGTTAAAAGGACACAAAACGACTAGAAAAACTTATTTTTGTGCTCTTGGAAGCTACAAATAATTAAACTAGATGGAAGAAGGATATTTTCTCTCAATCTACAAAGGTATCTTTTCTCTATGTATACAACATGAAGGGACACTCGGCAAGCAAACAATATATATTTATTCTCTATTGTTTTAATTGTTTTATGTTTTATGATATAGGCATGCCAGACTCATTTCTGAGATGGGTACTTATTGAAATTAAATACATACATATATAAATGAGATATGTTTGAATATTAGTAGCTCGGGTTGGTAGCTGGGCTGTTGGTTTGACATCCGGGCTTGGTAATTAGGTTCAGGATTGGGGGGGGGCATCCTCAGTGCGGTTTGAATTGTGTTCGGTTTGTTTGAAATGTTATTTCTGGTATTTCAGGTGAAGCAGCTCTCTCGCTCTCAGTGGTTGGTAGGCAGGGTCGATGTCAACTTGGTATATGATGCCTGATCTTTGATTTGTTTCTGTTGGCTCTTTAGGTTTTGATATGGTCCGTCTGAGAGTTGTGGCTGGTTTGTGGGCTACTGTGAGGTCGTGTTGGTCTAGTATCGCAATTCCTTACATACAGAACATTTCAGAAATGACAGGAAGACTACTGTGCCAACACGACCTCACAGTAGCCCACAAACCAGCCACAACTCTAAGACTCAAACTCACAAACAAAAATCAGGCACCATATACCAAGTCCAGTGCAACAACTGTGAAAACAACTATAGGGGCCAAACAGGAAAAAAGCTATCTACCAGTGCATGAGCACTCCCTGGCTATGAAAAGACACGACCCTTTGTCCCTCATGTCTGTCCACGAGGACTCAGAAGGACACAAGTTTGATCTAACCAGGACCACAATTATAACCCAAGCAAAGTCAAGGAGAGAAAGAGAATTTCTCAAGGCCTGGTTCTCCACCAACCAATCAGTGAACAGACACATTAACATCGACCCCACCTACCAACACTGAGAGTGAGAGAGCTGCTTCAACTGAAATACCGGAAGCAACATTCCAAACAAACTGAACACAATTCAAACTGCATTGAAGTTGTCCTTCCGAATGGAGACGAAACGTTTGCAACCTAATTACCAAGCCCAGAAGTCAAACCAGCAGCCAACATACATAAATATATAAATAAATATTCTATTTATATATGGCTATGTGTAAGTGCTCTTACCACCTCCTGGCATGGAGGTGGCATGTAAATGCCCTCACACAACACAAAACCAGCAACAGTCTGGAGTCTGAAAAACAATAGGTTGGGCAACAACAATAATGTTATAATGCAGCAGCAGAGTGATGGGAGTTATACAATTTAACAGAATAACAGAGTTGGTCTTCTAGTCCAGCCCCCCCTATTCACGCAGAAGACCCTATACCATTCCAGACAAGTAGCTGTCCAGTATCTTTTTAAAAACCTCCAGTGATGGAAGACCACAACTTCTGAAGACAAGCTGTTCCACTGGTTGATTGTTCTCAATGTCAGGAAATTTCTCCTTAATTCTAGATTGAATCTTTTCTCAATTAGTTTCTAAATAATCTAATTATTAATTGAATTATTATTAATATAATTATTAATAATCTAAATTACCAATAATGCTGAATAGCCTTTATAACATATAAGAATGCTTTATTTTTAAGACTTTCTTGCAATTCTCTATAGGCCTAAAGGCACTCAATCAATCAATCAATAAAAGACAATGGCTGCAAAAGCTTGGAAGCATGCACATCTGCCCTAGAAGGGAAAAAAATAAAAATAACTTGAAGAGACATAATATCTTGGGAGATTACATAAAATGATAGGAGCAACTTCACCAATTTGCTTCCTCGTAAATGAAAGACCTGCCATGGCAATATTTTAGCTATCTTATGAAGCATACAATGAGAGGCTGATAAAATTGATGTGAACTTATACTCTGGAAAATTTGAGGGAATCTTCCAGAATGTTGTCTGTCCACAAATTACCCCTTAGCCCATCCTCTACACATAGGGATTGCATCAGTAGCAGTGAAATGACTAATTTTTGGTGGTAAATTTTTATTTTTTATTTCCAAAAACAAAGGTAGGAAAGATAGTGGGGGCTTAATTATTATCCAATAATATCAGGCTCTGGGAAGTTGGAGTCTACTGAAGTTACCTCTCTGAAATGAATTATGGGTAGCTAAAACACAAAACGTAGAAAATAGTATCTAAGTTTAAGCAGCATGGCTGTAAACATTTAACTTCCCATAGTAACTGATTAAGGTTTTTGTCATTATAGAATTAATGGTACATTTTCATGCTTTCTTTTTTTGTTTATTTGTATGTTTGCTTGGTTAGGAGCCAAGAGATAACTATATATACAAACCTGCACATCGTAAGTCCCGTTTAGCAAAACAGGCCTTTGAGAACTGATGTCCTGCAGAACCCCTGATAGCACAGAACAGTTGACTTTCTGGAAGTCTTTGGAATGGCTGAACTGCACCATATTGTGGAGAGCTAAAATTTTAGTGTCGAGCTCAGCATCCTGCCTGGTGCGGTTGTGTAGCCCAAGGTGGTACTTGCGGAAGTGTTTTATAAGATCTGTGGGGTCGTTCCCATAGTAACCATAGCCACAGATGTTGCATTTGAAGTCCTGAAGCTCTGGAGACAGAGGCGCCGTATCTGGGTTCTCATTTGCCGTCAAATCTGCTTTCAATTTGATTGGCCTTAAGTCCCCATCTGAAGGCACTTGTGGGTTTTTTGAGGCCACCGAGGCTGGGCTTGAACTGCGGCCCTCAGCTTGACCACTTTGCACATGCATTGTTTCATCAATAGATTTTGGTGACATGCGAATCTCTTCACTTTTGTCTGTCAGATCTACTGACAGGTTGCAGGCCACATCTTGGGTGTCATCTGCATCTGATCTGTGGGGACACTTCAAGGATTCAGAGATTCCCCCAACAGCTGGAGATGAGAAGGCCGGCATATTTCTGTCTGTCATCTCATCATGAGGGAAGGATGGAACATTTCCTCCCTTATTGTGGCTTTCATAATTGAAGCCAGCCTTTTCACTCGTTGTAGAGCTTTTCAAGTCCTTTTTAGAGCTGGGAGATGGCTCTGGGACATGCGTGCAAAACTCCTCATCATTTTGCTCCACAGCCTCACCCGACTCAGTGTTGTCTTGCATCTGACCGGCAGAAAATTCTTCTTTTCTTTCAGTATTGTCACTTTCTGTACCTGGCGATTGAAAGGTCTCTGTTTCTCCTTCTCTAACGTTTCTTAGAGGGGGATTCTTTTTCCGGACCATATCTGAAAATATAAAATGTATACACAAAAGATAGAGTAAAATAACAACAATATACAGTACACCCAAGCAACCCATTCCCCTTCCACCTCTTCCCATATTGAAACATAAATAATGTTTGCCAGACCAAACAAAAATGTTTCTCCAGAAGATTTTGTACAATCTTGCTAAGCCAGACTTGGGAATAAATTTTACTTACATAAAGGGGAGGAACTTCTGTAGAAAGGACAGAAACATAATTTCATGTTGATCCTTTATTATTGTACCATACGTTGGCCTGACAATCTTACTGAAATTTGATCTAGTCCAATTAATTAATTAATTAATTGCTGTTATATAAAACTATTCTGTTAGAACCCAGGAATGAGACCAATATTCCACCAAGCAATGTACAATTTCAAGACTTAACCCAAAAATATTAAAAATATCACAATGAGATGCAGTTTTCTTCAACCCTTAAAACCTTTGGGATCTCTCAAAACTGACTGGAAATTCTAAACGTTATGATTGCATGCTATCTAGAAGAGTCAGGATGACAAAGGAAGCTAAGCTAAGCTATCTAGATTTTCTCCAGTTAGATACATCAGTTAATATAACAATAGCAATAACACTTAAACTTATATCCCACTTTACAATGCCTTTCAGCACTCTCTAAGCAGTTTACAGAGTCAGTAAATATTGCCCCCAACAATCTGGGTCCTCATTTTACCGACCTAGGAAAGATGGATGGCTGAGTCAACCTTGAGCTGGTCAAGATCAAATTTCTGGCAGTGAGCTGAGTTAGCCTGCAATACTGCATTCTAACCACTGCACCATCATGGCTCTTAGTATTTAGTGCTAATATTTTGGTATCATTCACGAAGAACATGCTGCATTCTTATTAAAATGGTAAAAGATGAAAAAAAAAGCTCAGATGGATCATAATGGGATCAATCTTAGGCCAAATACATACACGCACACAGATTTATTTTTTGAAGTCTCCTTCCTAAAATTGGTTTCAGCAATGTGTCACTTTCATGTTATATTAGACTAACAAGGAATAATTTTATTATGATACTATGCCAGAACTAATATTCTAGATTAAAATTTTCATCATTCCATCCCTCCTGGTCCTGCCAGCTAGAATTACGGGCTGAATCCATGTGCTAAAGATTGAGCTACCGGTACAATTAAAAAAAAAATGTTTTAGATAACTACCAATCATTTTATCTCAACCTTCTTAAGGTAAAATAAAATGTTCTCATGTAATCTAAGTTACTTCAAATTTTGTATTGCTCATAGCCCTGCAATCCCATCTTCATGATTATCAAGTGTACAATGTCTAAAAACGAATCTTTCAGGCACTTTTTATATTGCAGCAATTCAATAATATAATCCAAAGCCCAAAGATAGGCTAGAAAACATAGAAATGTATAGAGAAAAAAGTCTCCTAAGGCAGACACAAATATTCAACGGATGTCTTTGCTGAAAAGGCATTCACGAACCTCACTCCAGACTTATAGAGTTAATCATACTCTTATTGCTCAAACAACTTTGAGAAGGTAACTTAGAAACAGCTGCTACTTCATTCATTTTTTTTGCCCACTCCAAATTCTCTCCCAGTCTGGAACTTAGGAACAGATACTTAGAAATACAGCAAAAGGTAGAAATCCCTAAGCTTCCCTGGCCACCCACTGTAACATATGAGAAACTCTAATGAAGCAGATTTTATCCAGAAATAAGAATAATATTCCCTGCCCGCTCATATCAAGTTTTTTCTAAAAATAAAGTTTTGTTGGACACTTATCTACTACATTGCTCTGTTTGAAAAATATATCCTTTTTTCTGCATTTGTACACTATCAGTATCATTATTCAAGAAGACATATTATCTAAATAAAAACCCATTTGCAGTACTTCTAAATGGAGAAACTATCTATTGGCAAGTCACGCTAGAGAGAGTGGAAATAAAGAGAAAGAATATAAGGCATTCTACAATTATTATCTCTAAGACAAATAACAGATTGCACAATGCTTTATGGCGTGCCAAGAAGTTTTCCAGTTAACATTTCTACTTAAAAAAAAATACATACTTGTAAAATCATACCCAGCATTGACTTCATAAGGCATGTGGCTCTACAATGCTTTTTGTTGTGTTTTGTTTTTACAGTTATTAATTCTATTAGTCAATTAGCTGGAAGGCTAACACAACTGGCTTAGGAGATACACAGCAGACATAGAAGACATTCTGAGAGCTGATCTGCACATCTGCAAAAGAAAAACAAACAAAAAAGATTTCCCCCCTAAATTATGCATTTATGATTAGGGTTTTATTGAAAAAAACAGTCAGTATTCTACAACAGCAAAAATTATGGCTGTACCACAATCAGATTAGCAACCCACAGGGACTTTAGCATTTGCTCAATCCTTTCCTTATTTTCTTCAAAACAAGCTTTCAGATTCATTAATTCTTGAAGGGAAAACCTCAAATGTCAAAATTATTATCTTCCATGAGCCAGTCACAAATCACAACTTTACTCTCTGATACTCCCACACCATGGACTTAAGATCATGAAACCTTCCTCAGTCTTAGACTAAAATAACAATTTCTAAATGTTCAACTCATTCTTGCATACCTCTTTAAACTTACAACTTAAACTGAAATGTTTATCTTATTCAACCTACTGCACACAATATTTTTTCATATAAAATTTCATTTGTACTATTAAAATATGGTGCTCACCATCTTAAATTCATAAATTCAGTAACAGAATCAAGCACTGAATAACAAAGGACAATAACAAGCACCTTATTATGAGTTCTTGAGTAATAACAGGGAGGAGTTAAGACATTTGGAAGGAAAACATAGCTCTAGCTTTAAAAAAATGTCTGTCTATGTTTCTGACAGGAAATAATGGAAATACTATGCCTTCAACTTTTATATGAATGACATCCTTCTATAATTAACTTCTTGTACATTCAGAGAAGAAAATAGGTGATTATTAGGACTATTATTCTAAGCACATGGTACTATGAAAGAAGCATTTACTCCCTTTAATATTGGCATATCTTTGACATTCAGTTTCTTACAGCAGGGGTCCCAACCCCGTCAGTGGACCGGTACTGGGCCACGACATGCCAGCAACCAGGACACACAAACAAACAAAGCCCCATCTGTGGGATGCGGGCAGCACACAAAACCACCCCCCTCCGGTCCGTGGCAAAACCTCTCTCCACGTAACCGGTCCCTTAGAGGTTCATAGAGATCCTACTGATACAGTTCTCAACTTACGATCGTAACTGAGCCTCGAATTACAGTCATAAGTCATGACAGTTGTTAAACAGGTCACTATGGGACTATGCCCAATTTTACATCCTTTTTGTGGTGGTTGTTAAATCAATACTGCAGTCATTAAGCCAATGCCTTAGTCATTAAGCAAACATTGCAGTCATGAAACAAGCTCATTTTCCCCAATTTTTTTTTTAACTAGAAACTAGAAATAAATGCCAGAAACTGGCAAAGAAGCCAAAAATCATGGTTACATGACTGCAGAATACTCTTAATGGCTGTAAATTCAATATGGTTGCCAAGCACCAAAATGCAATCACATGACTGCAGGGAAGCATGTGCAGCTGTTGTAACTTCAAAAATAGATCATAAGTAGCTCTGAGGAAGTCTGTCGTAATTTTGAATGGCTGCTACGTGACCAGCCAAAGACTACCTATATATAAAAAGATTCTGAGTGAACCAGCAATACCAAAGTTTGGGGTTTCACTGATCTCATGATTAAAGTTGTCCAACATGACATGTACCACTAAAAAAAGTAATAGCTCCTTAGTTTCAATAACTGACTGTAGCTGCAATTAATTACTGTATTTCCAAATGTTTCCTGTAATAAGTGGTCTCTTACATAACTGTGTTAAAAAATCTAGTTTATCCTCCATGGCTTCAATTCAGATGTGGTGTGCTAAAAGAATGGCCACTTTGGGGAAGATTAGTAATTGTTCCAAATCTTCTCCCTTTCAGCATTATATGTGTCTGATTGATCATGCTTCAGGGCCGAGAGGCATCAATGATTTTTAATAGGGGGTCTTCAGAAATTGCTTTTGAACAAGGCATGATTTTCCTCTAGAATCCGTGATGAAGAGAGACAAAGTTTATCAAATGTATACAGAGAGGACTGATTCAAATCAAATTTGATTAATAAAATACTCAGACAACTGGACCCTTTAATTGTAGTCACAAAATAGGTTCTCTTTATGTGTGCACATTTCAACTCAACAGGTAAATTTCCTAAACATTCAGTACAGTTCTAATCTATTGCACGAATTTGGGCACTTGGCAATCATCTTGCCCTTAAAACTGGTTGCATCATCCTGTGGACACTTGATCACCATTTGTAATCTTCCCTGCTATCTTCCTACAAATGAATGAGTAAAGATGCTCAAGTGAATCTCTCCCATCCATCCCTATTCTTTCTTTGCTGGCATAAACCATGTCCTTCATTTCCCCCCTTGCTCACATATATGCCCCTTCATTCACATTCACACAAGACACACACACATACACATATCACCCTCCTTCCCACTCATCAGCAGCCTCCTTTCTGAGTCTTGGTGCTCATACTCCATTTTTTCTGACCTTCCTCAGACTTCCTACACTCACACATACATATATACACATTCCACAGCCCTCCTTCTTGGATCTCCCCACTCACACACACATACTTTGCCCTTCTTTTTCAGGCTTTTCCCAGACTGTAGTGCCCCCCTTCCCTTTAAGCTGCATGAAGCTGTCCACTGACCACCACCCCCATCCCCGCAGCAGCCCCATGACATCCCCACCTTCCTCAACTGGGACTACTTCCTCTTCCTGCCTAACTACCCATGTGTTTTAAGCTAAGACAATTAGGACTGAATGGACTGTGATCATTAAGCAATGTAGTCATATGACACTGTGCCTTACAGTGACAGCAACCCTGCTTCCAATTGCTCTCCTAACTCAAAGTGCCTGTACTTGTTAAGTGCAAATGTTTTCAACAACTGCAAACTGAGTTCCCTGCACTTTGTTGAAGTTAATGCATCACTGGTGAATTCACTGAGATCTGAAGCACCCCAAAAGTGAGTCAGATCAAGGAAAAACAATACCACAGAAACTGCCAGCTCTGAATAATCCATAGCGATTAATATTTTCCTATTATTTCAGGGAGTTGAGTTTTGATTAATTGACTGTGGACAGTTTTGTGATCATTTGGCAACATTTGGTGTAATTTTATTGTAATAATTGGAATCAACATTATTTTCAGACTACAGACTCTGCCAGAGAAGGTAGGAAAAACCATTCTATCTGTCTGCATGTGTCTGTATGAGTAAAGCAATCAAGATGCACTTTCTATCAAAAAACAGTAAGATTTTTCTTCAGTTTTTTAAAGTTAAAAAAGCAGGAAAAACAGATAAATCTCCTTCTAATAATCAACTTTATTTCTGTTAAAATATTTTTATATTATAAAATTGCAGGCTAATCTTATGAACTTGAAGATTTTAGATAGAATTGTCACCAATGTATTTCATCAACTTCAGCAACATAGTCCAATGGAAAATGAAAGATCATTCCTAATGGGATTAATAAATTGCAAAGGGAATGAGAAACACAGTCACAAACAAGACAAATCTACTAAAGGCGAAAAGCTTAAAAGATGTTTCATATATGAATTTCTCTTTGTAATATGGAGGGAAGTGTGTAGTGGGGTGCCCCAGGGCTCTGTTCTGGGCCCAGTGCTCTTTAAAATCTTCATCAACGATTTGGATGAAGGGATAGATGGGGAACTCATCAAATTTGGAGACGACACCAAGCTGGCAGGAATAGCCAACACTCCAGAAGACAGGCTTAAGATACAGAAGGATCTGGACAGACTTGAACACTGGGCACTAACTAACAAAATGAAATTCAATGGTGAAAAAACAAGGTTCTACATTTAGGCAAGAAAAACCAAATGCACAAGTACAGCATAGGTGGCACCATGCTCAATAGTAGTAACTGTGAGAGAGACCTCGGAGTCCTAGTAGACAATCACCTAAATATGAGCCAGCAGTGTGCTGCAACTGCCAAAAAGGCCAACATAGTGCTAGGCTACATTAACAGAGGGATAGAATCAAGATCACGTGAAGTATTAATACCACTCTACAATGCCTTGGTAAGGCCACACTTGGAATACTGCATCCAGTTTTGGTCACCACGATGTAAAAAAGACGTTGAGACTCTAGAAGGAGTACAGAGAAGAGCAACAAAGATGATTAGGGGACTAGAGGCTAAAACATATAAGGAACGGTTGCTAGAATTGGGTATGTCTAGTTTAACGAAGAGAAGGACAAGGGGGGACATGATAGCAGTATTCCAATATCTCAGGGGCTGCCATAAAGAAGAGGGAATCAAGCTATTTTCCAAAGCACCTGAAGGCAGGACAAGAAGCAACGGGTGGAAACTAATCAAGGAGAGAAGCAACCTAGAACTAAGGAGAAACTTCCTGACAGAGAACAATTAATCAGTGGAACAGCCTGCCTCCAGAAGCAGTAAATGCTCCAACACTGGAAGTTTTTAAGAAGAGACTGGACAGCCATTTGTCCAAAATGGTGTAGGGTTTCCTGCCTGAGCAGGGGGTTGGACTAGATGACCTCCAAGATCCCTTCCAACTTTACTACTACTACTACTACTACTATTATTATTATTATTATTATTATATCCCGAACAGAATACTGTGAGATGAATGAACAATTCTGAAGTTCTTCAAACCTGCTTTGCATTTCTTCAAAAAGTAACCCATTCTCAGCACTGTTTGACATATCAACATCTGAATTGAAATGCTTTCAATGAAAACACAATTTGAGCACTTTTTTAAAGTAACACAAATTAATTTGGAAGTAGAAAAAAGGGAACAAAATCATCTGTTTAAACAAGCAAGATTGTGGACATGAAATGGGCATGATTGCCTCGTTTTATAAATGAGGATTATCACTTAGAAGAGCCTTGTATCTTACAAAGAAAAATTAGGAGAGGGGATGAAAACTGTTAATTAAGAATCACAAGCTAACTAAATAAATAGCTATCTCATATATGGCATGCTGCTTTGTTCTTAGATATCAGTTTCTCTCGATCTCTTTAGAACTAAAGAGATAACTAAAATTATCTCTTCCAATAACTAAAAATAAAATTATATTTAAAAAATAGTAGCAATTACTAAATTAACAAATTGAGGGAGGAATTATCGCAG